CCCCCCCCCCCCCCCCCCCCCCCCCCCCCCCCCCCCCCCCCCCCCCCCCCCCCCCCCGGTTTACACATTATATATATATTTTTTTTTTTATTCATTTATTTATATATGGCGCAGGAGAAATTAATATTCAAGAGATTTTGAATTTTTCCTAGTTAAAGTTACAATTTTAATTTCACTTAGTACAACTTAAAATTTCAATTTTGACTACATATTTTTTAGTAAAAACGAATGTTTAAATTTTTCCTGTAGGAGAATGCTAAATATTCCTGACTGAATAGTATCAATTTCATATTCCAATCTTTCTTGTAAGAATAATTAAAATATGTGTTACTTTCGGCAGAATCGGTAGAAGACCAGAATAAAATAAAAATGTACACTAAAATAAACGTCGCGTATATCATTAAAGTAAATATTAAAGTATCAGTCTCTTATTTTCATGGAGGAGTTTTATTAGTTAATTGATAAACAAATTGAAGGCTTATGTTCCGAATTTTAAGAGAAGTTTTCTATAAAACTGCCATTATATGATAGTATAATATTGGCTCTACGAGATGACTAGGGAGATTCTCAGCTCAGATTCTGTGTGAATAAAAATTGGTGATCATAATGTTGAATATGAAGTAGAATATTATCATCTTGCTTTTACATACGAAAATTTGTATACAAAGCTCAATAAATGTCACGAAAGAATTGGTCATCACGAACTAGATAAGATTTGTAAAAAAATATGTAGTGTGAACATTTAGTAGTGTGGTACTATATATCATTCATCGAAAAAGAAAATATGCTCAAGTGTGTACTTTACTCTTTGTATTTTTGACACATAAAAAGAATAGAGTTAATATTAAATTTTCAGGAAAATTTCAAATTCTCCTGAATTTTAATTTCTCCTGCGATACATTCATATATATGAGTGAATTGCAACTTTTTGGTACGATTGAATTTTAGCTGTATTTTTTGAATAACGTTTTTTCGCTTCAGCCGATTTGGACAATTTTTTTACAGGATAGTAGTCCCTAAGTGTCCCACTTCCATACAAAATTTCAGCCCTCTATCTCATACTATAGGTGACTTATAAAAGATACATTGCAAAAAAAACGTCATTTTTTGATGGCATGTATCAGAAAAGAAAATAATTTTAGTATAACAAATTA